GAGATAGCTAAGTCATAATTATGAATTAGTATCTCATAATTATGAGATAGCTAAGTCATAATTATGAGATACCTAAGTCATGATTATGAGATACTATCTCATAATTATGAGATAGCTAAGTCATAATTATGAGATACTATCTCATAATTATGAGATACCTAAGTCATAATTATGACTTAGCTATCTCGATAGCTAAGTCATAATTATGAGATAGCTAAGTCATAATTATGAGATACTAATTCATAATTATGTGATACAAGTTTTATTTTTTTATCAGGGTGGCGGAAATGGGCTTCCACACCAACATCTTTTGGGGGTTTATGTAGAAAAGTTTTTTTCATATGTCAGTGAATTATCATAAAAACATTTTACATGAAAAAAAAAAAAACCTCACAAATATAACATGCTGTTTTTTTTTTATAGTAATATGCTGCAAAAAAACTGCTGCTTATTGCCAAGAATAAAAAAATATGCATTTTACTATTTGCATTTTTACACCTAACATCCACACATTTTTAACTCTTTATTGAACTCCTATATGACCTACATACTTCATGTTCTAGAAAACCTGTGTTGTGGGGCAGTGAATACTTTTGCAGCCCTAGAACGCAGATACACTGTCTGTTCGGATGTATTAGCGGCACAAGTTTGTCCAGTGAAAACAGGCACAGAAAACCTCAAAATTGTCATTTTGCATTAATTTAAAGATGGRTGCATCAGAAGATAATGGTCCAATACAAAATACTGCAACAACACAGTTCACTGAATTAGCAAAGCTAGAAGTTTACTAATGTATTATTAATTATCACCTGAAAGAAATGAAACCCCAGAAACCTTATTCATTTACAACTCAYGAATCAAGATGGCTACCACAACTTATTGACCTCAGCAAACACCAATGCTTCAATCTCAGTAATTCCTGCAGATATTGAGCTTAAATTTGAAATGACAGTAGCTGAGACTCATCCCCAGATAAATTCTTTCTGATTTATTACGTGACCGCTCAGTTCCAAATGATTGTAACCAGAYTGTGTGTTTTTTGGTTCAGTGCTTTTTTTAAACTGAAAACAGACATTTCTAACAAACAAAAAGAGTTCAGCTTCCAACTTAAAGTGATTTATTTTGCAGGTAATAAACTGGAGGATTCAGAATCTTAAAATAAATACTGACAACACATTGTGATCATTAAACACAGCATATTTATTATGCACAGCATGGCTTTTACAGGAAAAGATGTTCCAGAGTCGAATTCATGTACATTATATAACTGATTGATCATGCAGCGCTATGGATTAAAATGTAATAAAGAAAATAAGCTAATGGGATAAGTAAAAAAAAATACATTTCTTTTTATTTTTAATACTGTATTTGAATGTTTATGTGTTTAGTCTTGGTTCTGGGAATGTATTTTAAGGGTAACAAGAATGCAAATCCTTCAAAACAGAATAAAGTTTTTTCGTACAGCCTTTATTTCAACCAAGCAGCGTGGGTGTCCATTTCAAGCACAGCAGGTCATGTAAAGTGACAAACCTCTTAAAAGGTTTGATTATATATAT